ATAAAAAGGAGACAAAAAAGAAGATAAGAAGGAAATAAAAAGGAGACAAAAAAGAAGATAAAAGGAAATAAAAAGGAGACAAAAGGGATGAAAAGGAGGAGATAAAAGGAGACAAAAGGTGGAGAAGATAAAAGTAAAGTGGAGACAACAAGAGGACACTGGGGAGACAAGAAACGAAGAGAGGGGAGAGACAAAAGGGCGGCAAAACGAGGCAAAAAGGAGACAAAAAGCAGAAAATAAAAGACAACAAAAAGACAATAAAGAGGCGAAAACTGTAACCGAAAGGAGACAAAAAAGATGCAAAAAAGCTGCAGAAGAGACAAAAAAGCTGCAAAGGAGACAAAAGGAGACGAAAGGAGACAAAGGAGGCGAGGGCGTGAGTGCGGACTTGTCTCCTCGTCCGGCTCTGCGTCGGAGTCTCCGCTGCCGCTGCTGCTGCCGCCGCTGCCGCTGCTGCTGCTGCTGCTGCTGCTGCTGCTGCTGCGCCGAAGTGTCTCCTTCTGGACGCGCTGCTGCCACCTCTTGAAGGCGGAGTTGACCGCCAGAGTCCCCTGGGCCCTGACGAGCTGTCTCCGAATTTCAGTCTCCTTTTGCTTCCGACTCTGCTGCTGCAGCGACCAGTCCAGCAGCTTGCTGATGTCTCCGCGCGCGAGGGCCCCCAGCGAGGCCCTGCTGCTTTGTGTCTCCTCTTCAATTTTCGAAAAAGAAAGTCCAAGTCTCAACGCAAACTCCACAAAAGATCCCGGAATAATGTCAAGTCTCAAGTGGACAACGGCGAGTCCGAGGGCCTCCGCGAGCACCTTCAAGAAGTAGCTGCGTTCCTCGTAGTTGATGCCCCTCCCGCTGCTGCTGCTGCTGCTGCTGCTGCTGCTGCTGCTGCTGCTGCTGCTGCTGCGGGGGCGCAGCAGCCGCGCTGCTGCACCTGACGAATTGGGGGTGTTTGTTGGGGTGCTGGGCCGTTTGCTCGATGGCCTCGAGTTCGGCCAGCAGCGGCTCGACGAGGACTTGGAGAAAAAAAAGCTGATTTTGCGCGAGGCTTTGGTGGGCCTCTCTGTTGCAAACTGAAGACACCGGCAGCTTCAGCCGCCGCTCCGCGTCGCCCTGCAGCAGTCCAGAGAGTTGAAAAGAGTTAAAAAGAGTTAAAAAGAATTCAAAAGAATTCAAAAAATTAGAAAAAAATCCAAAAAATTAAAAAAAATCCAAAAAATCCAAAAAATTGAAAAAAAACTCAAAAAGTTGATTTAGATGCAGCCAGCGAGGGCGGGCGGGGGTCGCGGATTTCGCATGCATGCGCAACAACCTGCTGCTGCTGCTGCTGCTGCTGCTGCTGCTGTTGCTGCTGCTGCTAGGAGTAAGACGTGGCACTGGAGCTCCGTGGCAGCAGCAGCTTCAGCAGCAGCAGCAGCAGCAGCAGCAGCAGCAGGTTGTTGCGCATGCATGCGAAATCCGCGACCCCCGCCCGCCCTCGCTGGCTGCAT